CTCGAGCGCGCATGGGGGTACCGGGGCCTCTGGGGCGCTCCTGGGACGGCTCCCGAGGGCGCCGGAGGCCGCCAAACAGATCAAGAGGGCGCACGAGCCTCGAAATGTAGCTTGAAGATGCCGACGATGGCTCCAAGAGAGCTCCCGGGAACCCCCGAGACAGCCCAAGAGGGCCCCAAGAGCCCTCCCCAGAGGGCCCCAAGATGCAAAAATGGCCCGGTCCCCGTCGGAAAACGTAATTTTTGTCAGGGATTCGCCTCTTGCCCTTCCAGGGGAACGAAGACGGCCCGAGAGGCCGCCAGGATCGCCTCAAGACAGCCCAAGAGGGTTCCAAGACAGCCCAGAAGGGCCCCTGGCTAGCCCAACAGGTCCCCAAAACGGCCCAAGAGGGACCCAGGACGGCCCCAAGCAGGGGCCCAGAGAGGAAACCCTACGAACATTTCAAGCCCTCCGCCCCCAGAGGTCCCAAGGAGGCCCCAAAAGGCACCCAAAACGTCCCAGACGAACCTGGCCTCCCAGAGTTTCCGGAGGCTTCTCCAGCGGAGATCCACGCGGGGGGGAGGGAGAAGGAAGAGGAGGAAGGGAGGAGGAGCAGGAGGATAGAGGGAAGATGCAGAAAAGATCAGGACGAGGAGGAAGAAGAGGGAAGGCTGAGCAGGAAAAGTGCGCACCAGGACGAGGGGAGGAAGGGCGAGGAAACGAGCATAGGCGAAGAGAAGTGAACACAACATAACGAGGATGTGAGAAGAAGCAGTGGGATCCCCAATTCGGCCAAGAGGCCCCCAAGAGGGGCCCAAGAGAGCTCCAAGACGGCCCAAGAGGGCCCCAAGACATCTCATCAGAGCACCAAGACGGCCCAAGAGGGCTCCAAGAGAGCCCCAAAAGGCTCCCAAGACAGCGCCAAGGGGCCTAGAAAACGCCCCCAGCAGAGCCCTGGAGGGGTCGTGGTGGTGATGGCTGCAGTTGGCTTCAGTTCGTGCGCCGATTGTGGTCCTACCGACGATTCGGATGGTCGTGGCGGTGGCACTTGCCGTGGTGGTAATGATAGTGGTCGTGGATTCGCGGCAGTGGCAGTGGCAATGGTAGTGGTATTGGTGGCGGTACAGGCAGAGGTTGAACCAATGGCCGTTCTAGTGGTCGTGGACAGTGCAATCGTTGTGGATGGGGTGGTCACGCCCAGAATGGACATGGAATCGGACATGGTCGTGACCGCGGTGATGACGGAAAGGGCGGTGGTAGCCGTGGCGGCGTTGGCGGTGTTGAGCGTGGTCGCGGGAGTGACTAGAACCTAAGCGCGCGCGAAGCGCGCGCGTGGTTCCAGCATATATATATATACAAATATATGTATATATATACAGATGTATATATATATATAGATATATACATATAATGTATATATATAGATATATACATATATACATATATATATATATACATACACCGGGCTACAGGGCCGGGGGCTCCCTGGCCGGGACCGCAACCCGCCATGGCGGGATCGGGCCTCTGGGGGCGCCCTTGTCCGGCCCAAGAGGCGCCGAAGACGGTCCAAGCGTGCCTCGAGGCGCTTACGATCGATCCAAGACGCCCAAGATGGCTCCCAGACGGCCCAAGAGGCCTCCAAGATGTCCCAAGAGAGCTCCAAGAGCATTCCCAAGAGGGCTGCAAGAGGCCGAAATCATTGATTTCTGTTGGTTGTTTTTAGGTTTGTTGGTTTTCTTGTTTTTGTCGTCGTCCCGACCCTCCAAGACAACCCGCGAAGTCCCCAAGACCGTCCCAAGATCGCCCAAGAGGTCCCCAAGAGCGCCCCAAGACGGTCCAAGAGGGCCTGACAATAACCCAATAGGCGCCTAAGACGGCCCAAGAACATGCAAACACGGCCCAAGAGGCGTCGAAGACAGTCAAAGCGTGCCACGACGCGCCTAAGACCGCTCCAAGACGCCCAAGATGGCTCCGAGATGTCCCAAGAGGCCTCCAAGACGTCCCAAGAGAGCTCCAAGAGCATTCCCAACCTGGCTGCAAGAGGCCGAAATCATTGAATTCCGATGGTTGTTTGGCAGGTGTTTGGTTTTCTTGTTTTTTCGTCGTCCCGACCCTCCAAGACAGCCGACGAAGTCCCCAAGACCGTCCCAAGATCGCCCAAGAGGCCCCCAAGAGCGCTCCAAGACGGCCCAAGAAGGCCTAACAACAACCGAGCAGGCGCTTAAGACCGCCCAATAACATGCAAACGCGGCCCACGAGGTGTCGAAGACGGTCAAAGCGTGCCTCGACGCGCCTAAGACCGCTCCAAGACGCCCAAGATGGCTCCGAGATGGCCCAAGAGGCCTCCAAGACGTCCCAAGAGAGCTCCAAAAGCATTCCCAAGAGGGCTGCGAGAGGCCGAAATCATTGAATTCCGATGGTTGTTTGCAGGTGTTTTGCTTTCTTGTTTTTTCGTCGTCCCGACCCTCCAAGACAGCCCACGAAGTCCCCATGACCGCCCCAAGATCGCCCAAGAGGCCCCCAAGAGTGCCCCAAGACGGCCCAAGAGGGCTTAAGACGAGGCCCCGAAGACGCCCGAGATGCCCTCAAGACAGCCGACGAGGACTCCAACACGCTCCAGGACGGACTTAAGAGGCTCCCCAAGAGGACCCTGGAAAGCAAGACTCGTTCGTTTTCCGAGTGTTTTGGATTTTGGTGTTCTCGCTTTTCCTGCTTTCCAGCGTCCCTCACGGCCTGGGAGGCCCTTCAGATCGCTCCAAGAAGGCCCACGAGGCCCCGACGAGGGCCCCAAGATGGCCCAGGAGGCTCCCCCCAGACAACCCAACATCTGCCCCAAGAACGCGCCGAGAGAAGGCGCAGAGGGGTCCCGAGGCGGCCCGGGCCCGCCCCGAAGCAGGCCACGACAGGCTAATGGAGGTCTCGAGAGGGCCCTAGACTGTCCCAAGAGGCCCCGAAGACGCCCAATATGCCCTCAAGACGGCCGACGAGGACTCCAACACGCTCCAGGAAGGACTCAAGAGGCTCCCCAAGAGGGCCCTGGGAGGCAAGATTCACTAATTTCAGGATGGTTTTTGAAGGATTTAGGCGTTCTCGCTTCCCCCGCTTACCAGTGCTCCCTCACGGCCTCGCTCGGAGGCCCTTCAGATCGCTCCAAGACGGGCCACGAGGCCCCGACGAGGGCCCCAAGACGGCCCAGGAGGCTCCCCAGACAACCCAACTGTGCCCCAAGAGCTCCCCAGGAGAGGGCCCAGAGGGGGACCGCCAACTGATATTTCGATGTCTCTGGCCCTAGAGGCCGCCTGTAGGCCCCCGGAGGCCACCAAGAGGCTCCCAGGAAGCCCCGTGACCCAAGAGGCCCCCAGGAAGCCCCAAGAGACCCCCAAGGGGCTCCCAGGGAACGCCCAAGAGGCCCCCCAACACACCCGAAGAAATCATGTCCCCAGAAAACCTTCCGGGGACATGGTTCATCATGGGCCCGAGAGTTCCTGGAGGCTCCCATTGGGCCCCCAGGGAACGCCCAAGAGACCCCCCAACACACCCCAACAAACCATGTCCCCAGAAAGCCTTCCAGCGACACGGTTCATCATGGGCCCGCGAGTCTCCGGAGGCTTCGAAGTACCATCATGCTACAGGAGAGCTGTCTGGGAAGTTGATTGGGAACATGATTGATCGCCTTCTCGCGGCCCTCCGCATATCGTTTCGCACAAAGTGGCCCCAAGCGCCCTCTTGAACCGACGACGACGACGACGACGAAACGACGAAGACGACGACGACGACGACGGCGGCGACGACGACGACGACGACGACGACGGCGCGCCCCAATAGGCGACGACGACATTACGACGACGACGACGACGACGACGACGACGACGACGACGACGACGACGACGACGGCACGCCCCAACAGGCTCCCCAAGACGCCCCCAAACCCATGCTCCCAGAAGGCCTTCTGGGAACCCGATTCATACGGCCTCCGCCCCGTGTGGCAATGAATTCGTCAAGGCCGTGCGCGCTCAGGTTCTAGCATATATATATATATATATATATACACGTAGCACCCCGCATTTGCGGATATGAGTGAGGAGTTGCCGGGAACGTGGCCAATCTGAAAGGCTCTGGCCAAGCTTGCCGCAGGCGCCTGATATTTTCAAATTATACATCGGACCCGCGGCTGGCGCCGATTGTTTCTTTAAAGCAATGTGGGGGGGCCGCAGGTGGGTCTCGGGCGGGTCGCGGGTGGGTCGCGGTTGGTTCGCGGGTGGGTCGCGGGTTGGGTCGCGGGTGGGTGGGTCGCGGGGTGGGTCGCGGGTGGGTCGCGGGTGGTTCACGGGTGGGTCGCGGGTGGGTCGCCATGGGTCGCGGGACGCGGGTGGGTCGCGGGATGGGTCGCGGGTGGGACGACGACAACAAACAATAAACAACAATCAACGCAACAACAACAACAACAATAACCGTCCACATCGCAGAGCCTCATTTCAGCCACGTGCCCAGGGACAGCGAATGACCGTTGGGCCTCCTCACTCTGGTATGTATGTATGTATACGTTTACGGTAGATGTGTGGGCGTCAGGGGGGTAGCGTGTCACATCGGCCGCATTCGCTTGCATGGCAGCTGTTCTGGCTGGTTCCGCGCCCTCCAGGGAGGGCATGGCCGCCCCGGGGACCACCGTGCCGCGCCCTTCGCCCGTGCGATACTGCGGGTGGTGCGCGGGACCCCTCGGGCGAGGGGAGTCGCTGGCCCTGGCCGCGGGCGGGTCCCTCCTGGAGGTCTGCGAGCTGTGCTACATCATCGGGCTGATTCGGCAGGCGGCGTGGCGCGCCCGCCTCAGCGTGGAGGAGAGGGCGGCGCTGCTCGACTCCGCCCGGCTCTTGGGCGCGCTGCTCTCCGCGCTCGCCGGCCTGGGGCTCGATGGCGCCGAAGGCGAGTCGCCAAGGGCAAGGCCAAGGCTAAGGCTAAGGCGAAGGCCTTGGGCCGAGGACGCGCCCGCGGCCGAGGGCGCGGCGCCGGCGGCCTCGGGCGAGGAGCCGCGGGGAGAGGCGGAGGCGCCGCCGCCTTCCCGCCTGTTGCCCCGGGCCTGGCGGCGGCCGCGGCGGTCGGCGGCGCCGCGGCGGCCGCGCCCGCGGGCGGCGGTGCCGGCGCGCCCGTGGTGCCTGGCCTGGCGGCGCTGCCCGGCCTGCCGGGCTTCGGAGGCGGCGCGGCTGCTGGGGCGCCCCCGGCGGGCGGCGCCGTGCCTGACGGCGGAGGCGCTCCCCCCGGCGGCGTGGGCGCCGCGCTGGTGGGCGCGCTCGCGGGCGGCGGCGGCGGCCCTCCTGGCGGCCCTCCTCCTGGCGCGGTGCCGGGGGCCCTGGCGATCCCTGGTGTGCCGATCGCGGTGGCAGGCGGGCCGATCGTCCGGTCCGTGGCGTCAGGCCGTGACTCTGATTAGCGCCGACTGGCGCCGAGGGGTGAATCTCGAGCTCCCGACCTTCGACGCAGCTGGAGGCATCAGCGGGACGGCCCTCGAGGTGGGGGAGATCGGCACCACGGGCCCCTCTGGGCAGCGCCTGAGCGCCCAGTTCAGGGGGGCGTCGCTGGCGGCCGAGGCGATGCGGCTGGACGGCCTGTTCCCGCCGCGCGGCGCCGGGCCTGCGGGCCTCCTGCACTTGTGCGGGCAGGGGCCGGCGCTGTGCAGGGAGCCCGCTGCGCCAGGCCGAGGAGTCCTGCATGTCGAGTGGCTGCGGCTGCGCTCGAACCGTGGGTTCGTGGAGCCGTGGGTGCGGCCGAGCGCCTTCGGTGGGCGCGGCGGCGGCGGTGCCTTGGCGGGGGCCGCCCCAGTCGGGGGCGCGGCCCCCGACCGCCTGGCGGCAGCTGCCGCGGCGCGCGCGCAGGCTGCTGCGGCGACGCCCGGCCGCGCTGGTGGCGGTCGCGGCCGCCGCCGCCCCCGGAGCTCCTCGGCCTCGCGCAGCGACGACGACGGTGAGTCGCGTTTTCGCGAGGCCCCCTCCCGCGGCGGCAGCGCACGGCTGCTGGCGGAGAAGCGCCCAGGTGCCCTGTACGACGAGGCGACGAAGAACATCGGGCGCGTCATGGGCCTGCGGGAGGGGGCGGACGGCTCAGAGGTTCGAGCGAAGGTCGTGGGCTACCTGCAGGCCGTGGTGTTCGGCCATCACCCTCCAGGGCAGATGCGGGTCAACACTCAGCGGGAGCTGCAGACGCTGGCGACCGCGATGGACCTGCTGGAGAGTGGGTGCCTGGCGGAGTTGAGCGACGTGTTGATGCAGCGCTTCAAGGCTCTGGAGCTTTCGCTGTCCGACGCGAGCTGGCAGGTGGCGAGCGAGCTGGAGATCGCGCCGGACGCGCGGCCCTCGCTGGCCTCGATGGGCGAGCAGGACCTGGCGCGGCGGGCGGCGCTGCTGCGCAGGAAGCTGATGGGCGCGAAGAGCCGCGGCGGGCTCGGCGGCAGGGGTCAGGGCGAGCGCCAAGCCTGACCCGAGGAGGCGAGGCGCGGGAGCGGCGGAGCCCACTCGCCCTCGCCGAGCCGCCAGCAGGGCCGCGGTCGCGGGAGGAGCCGCGGGCGCGGCCGAGGCCGCTTCTTCCCCCTGCGGGCGGGGAGCCCAGCACGGCCTTGGGCAGGGCCCGCAGCCGCAGCCCCGCCCGCGGGTCCGCCAGGCGCGGCGCGCTCAGGCAGCGCGGGCAGGTCGCCGTCTCCGGCGGCGCTGAGGACGCCTCGAGGCGACAGCCCGCACCCGAGGGCGGCGGACGGGCCGAGGCGTGTCTCGCTGGCGACGAGCCCGGAGCGCCACGTCTTCAGGCAGGACCAGCCCGCGGCTGCGGCGGCAGCGGGCCTGCAGCAAGGTGCGCCGCGAGGCCCGGCCCCCCCGAGCGGCCGCCGCCGCGGCGGCAGGAAGCACCGGGGCCGAGGCCGAGGCGGCCTTCCTGCGACGCTGAGGTGAGGCAGCGAGCTGATGGTGCCAGCGCTGATGATGCGCGTGCGGGTGCGACCGAGTTTGCCGAGGTTGCCCGCTCGCGCAGACCGCCCTGGACTTCGCCGTCGCGCTCGCCGCCTCCGAGATTGGCTCCTGGCCGTGGTGGTGCTGCCGCCGCTCGCCGCCCAGCGTCTTCGTCGCGCCCGCCGGCCTGTGGTACGGATGCCGACTGTGACGGTGATCCGCTGGCAGAGTGGCGCGAGTGGGCTGGCGCGGCGAGTGATCTTCTGCGAGAACCTTTCGACGCGGGCCCCGTGTTGTTGAACGTAGTCCGCCAGTTCCCAGGCTCCTTCGGTCGCTTCACTAGATATTCCCTCGAGGTAAAGCCACGCGAGCATCCGGCCGACATGGGAGGTCGGCTTCAGCGAGATCTGTTGCCGTTACCATACCCTTCTATCACCAGTTCCCAGATCGCCCAGCAGGGCGAGGACCTTTTGAGCGACAAGGAGTGGGAAGGACTACGCTGCAGGCTGGTGGTCGCTGTCCTGGCGCTGAACTGGGAGTCTGGGCTCCGCTCCCTGAAGCTGGCCAGGCCCTGCCGAGGTCGAGCCAACGCCGCGCAGCAGGCAGCCCTGGTCGCTCTCGGCCGCCGCCTCCTCTTGGCTACGCGGGCCGAGTCTGCTTCACCGCCAGATCTTGACTGGAACATGCGGCTGAAGGACCGCAAGATCGGCTACGGCGGGGGCGAGATCTCGGCCCCGCATCGGCTGGCGCTGGAGCAGGTGCTGGACGGGCTGCCGCCGCCAGGTGTCGCGGCCTCCATCGAGGCGGCCGACCTCGCGACGGGGTTCGTGCGCGAGGCCCTCCTGGACCCGACGCTGGTGCTGCTGCCCTCTGCCCTGCGGCGGCCCGCGCCGACATCTGCGCGCGCGTGGGCCTCGCTCGAGGAGTGGCATCGGATCGTGCGGGCGCTCCACGAGCGCGGGATGGCGTCGGCGATCCCGAGCAGCGAGATAGCCTGTCGCGACGGAGCCCCGCTCCTGAACGGGGCGCTCGGGGTGCCCAAGCCCCGCGACGAGCCCGTGGTCTGCTGCGACGGCGAGCGCAGGCCGGTCCTGAGGCTGATCACCAATTTCATCCCCTCGAACGCGTGCCAGGAGCGCATCGTGGGAGACACCCCTGAGATGCCGACCATGAGCCAGCTGAACGGCCTGGTGCTGACCGAGTCGGAGGATCTCCTGTGGAGCGCCGCGGACAGGAAGGCTTTCTTCTACGTCTTCCGCGCGCCGCCTGTGTGGTGGCTTTACATGGTGATAGGCCCGCCCGTCCCCTCGGAGTTGCTTGGCCTGAAGGACGGTGGGACCACGCACATCTGCCTGCGGGTGATCGGCATGGGCTGGATCAGTGCCGCGGGCGTGACGACCCACCTCCACCGGAACATGCTGCGGCGGAGCGCCTCTGTCCCTTGCGGCCTGTCGCCCAGCCAGAAGATCGCTCGGCGCTGACGACTGCCATTCAGCGTGGAGAAGCCGTGCCCTCCGGCGTGGATGGTCTACATTGGCAACCTGGAGGTCGCGGAGGTCGTGAGCAAGTCCGAGGCCGCGACGCTGCGAGGGACGGTGCCCGAGCTCATCTCCGAGGCTCGCGTCTGCTATGCGGCCGCGGGCTCCCCGGGGTCGCCGTCCAAGGACATCCATCGAGTGCCGCGAGCGACGACCTTGGGGGAGCTCGTCGACGGGGTCGAGGGCGTTCGGCGGCCCCCTGCGGGCTACCTTACCGAGATGGCCAGCCTCACGGCGCTGAGCAGGAAGCGGGCCAGCATGCGGCTGGTGCGCATTCTGCTGGGCCGCCGGGTTCGTGTTCACTGCTTTCGGCGGCCGCTGGCGGCCAGCTTTGCCTACACCTGGAAGTGGCTCGCGAACCCGCGCACTGGCGGCCGCTTCAGCGTGAGCGTGGTCGAGGACCTCTTGATGTGCCTTGCGCTGTCTGGGCTTTGCGTCGCTGACCTGCGCCTCGAGGTCGACCCCCTGGTGACCGCGTCGGATGCCTCGGAGGCCGCTGGCGCCGTGGTCTACGGCTACGCCCTCTCCGACCGCGGGCGCGCGCTGGCCGAGAGGCGGCAGCGGCCCGCGAACGCCGCCTGCGAGGAGGAGACCGGCCTCGTGACTGTCTTCGACGGAATCGGCGGCGGGCGCCGGGCTCTCGAGATCCTCGGACTGGCCCCTGCCGTGCACCTGTCATTCGAGGTTGACCCCACGGCGGTGCGGGTGGCCCGGCGCAGCTACCCCAGCACGCAGCACCTGGGGGACGTGACGGAGGCGGACCCGGTGGCCCTGGCAGCCCTGCTGCGCGCCCGAGGCCGCGTGTCGCGTGTGCTGGTGGTGGGCGGCTTCCCGTGCCAGGTCTTCGCGGGTCTCAACGTCGCTCGGCAGGGCCTCGACGACCCGCGCGCGGGCCTGGTTGACCACATGATGCGGATCGTGGACGGGCTGCGGACGGCCATGCCGGAGGCGTCGATCGACTTCCTCGGGGAGAACGTCGCGTCGATGCCCGAGTGCGACGTGCTGCGCCTGAACCAGCTCTTCGGCCGCATCCCGCTGGAGATTGAGGCGGGGGATGTCGGCTGGGTGAGACGTCCGCGGCTCTACTGGGCTTCGTGGGACCTCCTGCCGTCCTTCGAGGCTGAGCCCGTCGTGGTGCGGGCCAAGACCCAGGACGTTCGGCGCGCCTGCAAGGTGGCGCTGAAGACGGAGCGGCCGCCGCTCGAGGAGTGGCTCCCGCCCGGGGCTGTGTGTCCGGGTCCCGCTGCAGGGGAGCCGCTCCCGACCTTCGTGCGCTGGACGCCGCGCTCGCAGCCGCGCCCCAGGCCTGCGGGCATCGGGGAGTGCAGCGCTGCTGAGCTGGCGCGCTGGGAGGCGGCGGGCTTCGCTTCGCCGCCCCACCAGTTCCGTGACAAGTGGTGCATCCACCAGGCGGATGGCCGCGTGGAGCCGCCTGACTCGACCATGCGAGAGAAGCTGATGGGCTTCCCGGAGGGCCACACCGCGCCGTGCATGACGAGCAGCCAGGCGAAGGCCCAGTCCGCCAAGTACGAGGCTCCTCGGCGGTCGCTCGTGGGCAACTCCTTCCAGTGCGAGGTCGTGGCCTGGATCATCAGCCACTGGGCCGTCGGAGCTGGGCTGCTGGTCTCGGTGCCCTCGCTGGGTGAGCTGCACGAGAGTGCGCGAGCCTGGGCTGGTGGCAGGATGCTGTGGGCCGGCGACGTGACGTCGCTGCGGTGCGGTCGCTCCGGGATAGACGAGGGCCTGCACGCCAAGCTGGACCAGGCTGGCGGGCCCATCTACGTGGGTCGTGGGTCTCGCCGCTGGGGGCTGGCTGCCTCGCGGTGGGGCAACCCTTTCACGATCAGCCCCGAGCGGTCACGCGAGGACGCCGCTGCCCTGCTCGCTGGTTGCATCCGCATGCAGCCCACCCTCCTGCAGAGCTTGGAGACGCTGCGCGGGGCCCTGCTGGTCTGTCACTGTGGGCCCAACCAGGCGTGCCATGCGGACATCCTCTTGGCGGAGTTGGCGAAGCGTGACGTGGTGGAGTGGCGCGAGCTGGACGCATCCAGACGCATCGTCATGGGGCTCGTCATGGCGTGCCACAACAACGGGGCAGACATCAGGACCGATGGCGCCTCGGAGGCGCTGGGCAAGATCTTCCCGCGGCAGGAGATCGACTCAGGCATTTGGCGGTGGCGCAAGGCAAGGCAGCTAGTGTGGGATGCAGCAGAGCACATCAACGTTCTTGAGTGCCAGGGCGCGCTGATGATGATTCGATGGCGGGCGCGGTCGGTACGCCGCCACCAGTGCGTCTTCCTGCACCTGCTCGACAGCATGGTCAGCATCGGTGCGCTGTCCAAGCGCCATTCCAGCAGTCCTCATTTCAATAAGGTGGTGCGGACCTTGTCGGCGCGGGAGCTTGCGATGGGCGCGCGGGCGGTCTTCGGCTTCACGTCGTCGGCTCGCAACCCCGCGGGCGCCCTCTCGCGTCTCCGCGATGGGTAAGAAGCGGAGTAGCCCTGCTGACCGCCGCGCCGCCAGAGCTGGACTGGGGAAGCTGAGAGACGCCAGGATAAAGGCCTCGACACTGGCCCGCTACCGTGGCGCAGCTCAGCGTTTTGTTGCCTACCTTGCTGCCAATAACCTGCCGCTGCCTTTCACCTGGGACGATATTGACATCTGCCTGCAAGATTATCTTGAGCACTTGTGGGCCGAGGGCGCCACAAAAGGAGAAGCCAATGACACCCTCAGCGGCGCGCAGCACCTGCTGAGGACACGGCGCCGCTATCCTGGCGCTTGGCAGCTGCTGACGGTCTGGGGCAGACTGGAGATCCCTCAGCGCGCGCCGCCGATGCCTGCCCAGGTCTGCACGGCGCTCGCCGGTTGGGCGCTCAGCCGAGGAGAGGTGGCCTTCGCGGCCGGGCTGCTCGTGGCCTGCCATCTCTGTCTCCGCACTGGCGAGGCGTTGGGGCTGAGCGGCGGCGCCATCTGTCTGAAGCCCTGTGGCCGAGGCGCGGCGTCGTTGCCCTGGACCAAGACCTCTTGCCAGAGGGGCGCGCGGGAGCAAGTCACGCTTGACGACCCGCTGCTTGACGCAGTCGTCCATATGCAGCTCCAGCGTGACAGCCGGCTCTGACCCGGCACGACGCGCGCCTTTCACGACTTGTTCCGTATTGGGCTCCAGCAGATCGGTTGCAAGCACCTCGCCCTGTCTCCTTGCAGCCTGAGGCGCGGGGGTGCCACGCATGAGTTCCTGCTGTCGGGCGACTTGTCTAAGGTGATGCTGCGCGGGCGCTGGAGCTCGGCAAGAACGGCAAAGATATACATCCAAGACGGGGCTGCCATCATCGCTGAGATGAAGCTCCAGGATCGTGCCCGTTCGACGCTCCAGCAGTTCTCTAATGCACTTTTCGCTCGAGTCCGAGCGTTTTGCAGCCCGTGACCTGCTGCGTAATTTCTGATGTCTGGTGCGAGCTGCTGCCCGCGCTGCCGTCGCCAGTCTTGATATATCTTCGGCATACGGCCAGAGGAAAAACACATAATGGAGAGCTTCGGTGTCTTTTTCGAGAGTTGGCGAGCTTCTTGGGCACGGTCCTGCTGGGCTCTCAGGGGGTTCTTTTTGCTGGCCCCCCCCCCCCAAGGCCGTCGAGCCTCCCCTGGCCCCCGAGGCCGCGGAGCGTTCTGGCCCCAGTCTCCCGTGATGGTGGCCGACCCCAGTCTGCGGATGGTTGTCTGCGAATCCAGCTCTGGCCTCGGGGTGCGGTCTGTGCTCTGGCGTGGGGGGTCGTCCCGTGCAAAAGAGAGTAGTCCTTTCGAGCTCCGTGCAGGGGCCTCTGTAAATATACATATAAGTGCCCATGGGAGTTCAAGCTCTGTCAAAAGCTCTGGCCGATTGAAGAGGGAAAGAAATTTCTCCTTAATTCGATGAGCTATCGCTCACCCCCCGCCTGCCCCACACATGTACACGTTTACGGTAGATGTGGGCGTCAGGGGGGTAGCGTGTCACATCGGCCGCATTCGCTTGCATGGCAGCTGTTCTGGCCCACCCACATACCACCCTAAGTGGCGAATGCATCATTGAGTCTCGCGAGAGCTCGAGTTTCTTGGGCACGGTCCTGCTGGGCTCTCAGGGGGTTCTCTTTGCTGGGCCCCCCCAAGGCCGTCGAGCCTCCCCTGGCCCCCGAGGCCGTGGAGCATTCTGGCCCCAGTCTCCCGTGATGGTGGCCGACCCCAGTCTGCGGATGGTTGTCTGCGAATCCAGCTCTGGCCTCGGGGTGCGGTCTGTGCTCTGGCGTGGGGGGTCGTCCCGTGCAAAAGAGAGTAGTCCTTTCGAGCTCCGTGCAGAGGCCTCTGTAAATATAAATATAAGTGCCCATGGGAGTTTAAGCTCTGTCAACAGCTCTGGCCGATTGAAGAGGGAAAGACATTTCTCCTTAATTCGATGAGCTATCGCTCACCCCCCGCCTGCCCCCCACACATATATATAGTGTGTATATGTGCATGGACATACTATATACACATAGGTGTACTGGGCCAGCGCGCAGAGGACGTGTGCGATCCCCCCCCCCACGACATGCCAGTCAAAAGCCATTGGCGGGGAGAGAAGTGTGCCTCGTCGGCGGTCAGTCGAGCGGGGGAGGGGGAATTATTGATAAAGAGCAATGGTAACCCCCTTCCCCCGAAGAGAAGGGGGTCGGGGGTAGGACGCGCCTGAAACCACTGACACTCAGAGGGCTGACAGCATTCCAGACCTCTTAGAAATACCAGGAAGGCTTGAGGATGTGTGGCATGTTTTCGCCATCGGTGGAGCCAGGCGCATCCAGGACCAGCATACATGCTTTGTGGTATGCGTAGGTACCACACCCAGATCCCAAGCTAAGTCCAAATTGGTGCAGGGCCTGGATACCATAAGTTGCACCTTTCACTGCTTGGTGCAGTAGCCTATGCTATCAAGACTCGAGTGGACGTGCTTGCAGTCATCCGTGAATTTCAGTCCTCCGCCTCCTTCTCTCCTCTTCCATCATCTTCCTCCGTCTTCCTCCCCATCACTATCTACATATAACGCCGCACCGGGCCCGGGGGCCCTGGGGCCGCAGCCCCGACCACAAATGGGGGGACGTCGGGCCCAGCCCGCTCCCCGGCGGGCCCCAGGTCGGCCCCCGGAGCACCCAGACGGCCGTCCAGGCGGCCACAGGCCGCCCACAGCCACCCTGAAGACAACCTCCAGCGGTCTCCGGCGGCTCAAGAGGCGTCTCGAACCGCCCCAGACCGCCCCAGACGCCTCCAAGACGCCCGAAGACCCCCCCAAGAGATCCCCCCAGACGGCCCCAGGAAGCAAAAATAGCCCCGCTCCCTTCGTAAAGCGTACATTTTAACCATATTCTATTTTTTGGCCTTCGTACCGTGTTTTACGACCTCCGACTCTCAATAGACCGCCCAAAGACGGCCCACGAAGCCCACAAGAGAGTTCCAAGACGGCCCCAGAGGGGCCCCGGACAGTCCCGAACAGTCCAAGAGGCGCCCAGGACGGCCCAAACGCGTCTTCGAAGCCCCCCCGCCCCAGGAGGCCCCCAAGAGGCCCCTAAGAGACCCCCAAGAGGCCCAAAGAGGCCCCCAAGACGCCCGCGGCAGGCCCCCAAGGGCCTCCAGAGGCCCCCCCAGAGGCTTCCAAGAGGCCCCCCGAGGTTCCCAGGAAGCCCCCAGGAGACCCCCAAGAGGGCCCCAACGGGCTTCTGAGAGGCTTCCCCAGAAATCTTCATGTACGTCTACATGCGCCCTCCGGTCCAAAAACCTGAGACCGTTCCTGGGACGCCGCCTGATTGGCACAGGTTTTCTTTGTATCTGTCAATGGGTGGAGCGGCAGCGACCCTTGTCGCTGGGGCCGGGGGAGCAGGCCCAGGGCCCGAAAATTTGGCGAGAAGGGCTTGCACGAACAGATTTTTAGAGACCACCTGCCCGTGGAACTGGCGACGCCGGGTGGCTTCATAGTTTCACAGCGCCTGGCGGCGGCAGCGTCGGCGCTTTTTTGTCCTGCCCATGCACCTCTCTCTTCGGGGCCACGGCCCGCTGTTGGGGGCCGCCAAGAGACAGCCGTCCCGACGGACCACGATTGCCCCGAGCTGCCCTGAAGACGGCTTCCAGAGGTTCCAGACGGCCCAAGAAGGTTCAAACAGCAGCCCGACGAGTGCTCCGAGAGGCCAAATTTCCTATAGTTTCCCTCCGTTTTTTGACTGATTTCGTGCTTCCGACGCTCCCAGACGGGTCAAGAGGTTCCCCAGACCGCCGTCAAGGCGGCTCTAGAGGGGAGGCGTCCACGACGATCCAAGACCAACCCAAGAGGACCCGCAAGAGTGCTCCATCCCCTCAGGAAAACTTGCACTTTTTCGTGTATTCGTTTTTTTAACCCCAGAGGTCTCCAAAAAGGCCCACAGACTGCCCATGAGGCTCTCAAGAGTGCCCCTAGACGGCTCAAGGGATGGAGCCGCTGAAGTGGGGTATTGATTTCCACGCGGGCCCCAGAGGGACCGCCACGGCTTGATATTAACCGATATCGAACAACAAGTTGTTGAACAAGGTCTACCACATACATCGAGATACGAAGAAGCTCCCTGCAGCGCAGTGCCGCGCGCAGTCTAGTGGGTGGGAGCTGAGGCGGCTGGCGACTCATGCTGCAGAGGGGAGCCGGATCCGCAAACCCGACCAGATTTATATCATTATGCCGACGCTGACGCCAGTTTCATTTGCAGCATCGGGAACCCGCACTCCATCCGCCCTCGTCCTTCCCCACCCTGTTTTCCTCCTCCTCTCATCGACGCTAAGTCTCAGTTGGAGTAATTCCATTTGCGGCCAATGGGGCTCCATCTGGACCTCCAGCTGGCCCTAGCCTCCTCTCGATCGGCGCCGAGTCCCGCTGGTAGAAGCCCATATGGAGCCAAGGTGCTGAACATGCTGGGACTCCAACTGGACGTCACCGCTCCTGATTCTCCTCCTCCTCCTTCTCCTTCTCCCCCTCCTCCCAGGGCCTACTTCGATCCGATCGATCCGATTCGATGCCGATTTCGGCCTGCCCGATCCGATTCGATTCGATGCGGCCCGATGCGACGCACACTTCGAGCCCATCCTGTTTACCGCTTCGATGTTGTCGGACCCTGCGACGCAAGTGGCTCACGCCATTGCGTCGACCCCCAGAAGAGAACGTGTAATGCATGATCGCGGAAGTCATTCGAAGCGTTGTGGCCTGAATGCGTTGTGTCGTACTTCGGTTCTTTTGGGCCTTGCCGGCTCTCCCTGGGCGCTCGGAGCGGGGCGGCCTATGTCGGAAGGATTTGTTGGTTTTGACACGATGTCAAGTTCGTCGCCCGTTTCTCGAACAGGATTTGGAGCTGTGGGGGAGTAGAGATCACTGGGGAAGGTTGTTAAGACGGATGACGGGACGTGGGCGGGGTAAGTCATGGAAGGGGGAGCAGGATGATGACAACAATGATAATGATGAGGATGATAGTGATGTTGATGATGATGATAAAGATGATGTTGATGTTGCTGCCGATGATGATGCTATCGATGGCGATGATGATGCTGATGATGATGCTGTTTATTATGATGATGACGACAAGCTTGATGCTGATGTTGATGCTGATGTTGTTGATGCTGATAACGGTGATGATGTTGTTGTTGATGATGTTGGCGACGACGACTATGTTGATGACGACGATGTTGATGCTCCTCATGATGTAGCTGTCGTTGCTGATGGTAATGATGATGACAAGTATGATGATGCTGATGATGACGATGATGATGCTGATGATGATGCTGATGATGGTGATGCTGGTGCTGATGATGATGCTGATGATGCTGATGATGCTGATGATGATGATGATGATGATGATGATGATGATGATGATGATGATGATGATGGTGATGGTGATGGTGATGGTGATGGTGATGCCTCGTCTTGGACACGTCCCATCACCTGTTCGCGTGAGGGATCGAAGCCTGAGGACTACCCGCAATCGTAGCCGCCAGCGTCACCATGTCGGCCCTCGTCGAGTCCACGTGGGCGGCCGCCTTCTCCTGCTGGCCCATGGCGGGGCCCATGGCGGGCACTGGTGGGCGCCGCCTCCACCGAGCGGTGCGGCTGCGCCTGCGGCTAGCGCCCCGCCAGCGCCAGGCGGGGCAGAACCCGCCCTCGGCGCTGCGTGTCGCGGAGCCCGCGGGCCCGCAGTGGCCGCAATACCCATGGAGAACGCCATGTGCTCGATCAGTGCCCTGGATGAGCGTACGGCATCTCCTGTCCCCTCGACGGTGGTCTGCAGCGTGGCGATTTGCTTGCCATGGACGTTGACGGTGTCCGTCACCGACGCACGGGTCGCTT